CATCTCCCCAGTCCTTTTCCCAAGCTATTAGTCAACTGCCCCTTTCCCTTTCTTGATTCCTCTTTTCTCATATCTTTAGCAGATATTGGAGAGGGTTTCTCTGTTTGCGTGTGCAGAGAACTCTATGTATATGGACTCACTGGTCAGTAAATTTTTAGGTTTTTGTGAGGGTGGTCCCTTTGTTTCTGACTGTGTCCATGAGTACGGGGACAGAGTCAAAAGCATAGTAACGGAAAATCTCTTTGAGGTTCAAGGGAGGGGCAAATGAATACAGACGGCCTACTTGCATTTTCCTTTTCATTCTGACTCATATTCCCCCTCAACTGACTCACAGCCACTACTTTTCTCTCCTCACTCCACATGCCTTTCTCCATCTTCTCTTCTAGTGGCACACTCTTAATTTAATTATTCATGACAGCTAGAACACTAACTTTCTTCAAAGGGAGCAGAAAACTGGAGAGAACACCTAAAAAAAGGAGATTGGTTTAGATAATCCCTAAGATTCCTTCCAGCTCGAATTCATCAAACATGAATTAATCACCTACTGTGTACAAGATATAGTGCAAGGTGATGCGCATATAAGGACAAAACAAATAGTCTACTCTTAAAAAATGGGAGGGGGGATGGAATAACTCTTAAAGACATTCTTGTCTACACTTGCTAGGAAGAAAAGAGCAATTGGCACAAGAAATGTGGGCTGGGGGAGAGGAGTTTTAGGTCCTAGGATGTAACCTAGGAACTGAGGGGTGTGTAGGGTTTGTGGCAAGATAAGGAATTTGAGTTTCTCAGTCCCTTTTCTTTATCCTATATCAGACAGTACTAAAATGTGAGAAGAGGGGAAATCTCCTGAACATCCACCCTCCTGAGCAGGAAGTGAAAGAAACCCTGAGCCTTTATTTCAAAGAAATATAACTTGCTACCATCCTGGGAAAGGGAAAGAAAGTCTCCCTCTCAAAACCTCTTCCAGTCTAACCTGGGGTTTCCCTTCCAGAACTTGGTGGATACACTAAGTCACGTCACCTGCAACACTTCTCCTTACCAAATGATCAGAACATTCCCATTAAGCAAATCCTGATCGGAGGTACCCAGTATGATTCAGTGTGAGGGACACCATTTTGTATTTGCCTTGTTTCTGCTCCTTTGAATCTACGTCCCTTTACTTTGAGGACCAGGGTGTAAACAACTTCCATCTTTCCAACCCAGAAGCAGCTACAAATCAGCTGTTAACTCTAGGAAAAAGAGCTCAATGTCATAAGATAGGTGATCTTAGAACAGAAAATTGAGGGCACAATATTTGAGCATCTAAGGGGGTGTGTAGATTGGGGCACCCAGTAAGGGGGCCCCAAGTGGGTGGAGCTGATGGAAATTGGGACCTGGGGAGTAGGAGCCCCCAAGAGCGACTCAGAGGCCTGAAGTGTCTACAGCTGTAAGTGGCCTCCTTTCTCTAGCTGGGGCTTTCTCTCCCAGCCCACACTATATCTCTACTTCTAAACCCCACTTAGGACCTCTGTGGATCTATAGCCTTTGCATACTCTCTAGCCCCCTTTCCATGAAAATCATTTTCTCTCCGAAAGAAGTTCTGTCTCTTTTATCTGGGTTTTCCTCTTCTATTTGCAAGACATAACACAGAGCCACATTTCTTTATCCTCCAGTTTTTGCCTTACAAAATACTAAACTTAAGACATTTGGAGCAATGAGCCTTTTTTGATTTTCTCAACCTTTCCTGAACCTGGGAAATAATAGCCTTCATCCCCTGCAACTTCCTTTTTTGTCTTTCATGACAAACCTTCATGAAAGTTTTTTTTTTTCTCCCCCAGTTTCTGACCCTCCCTGGTTTCAGGTCTTCTCAATCTCCCAACCTCAGCTGCTCCCTTTCTCATGATTCCCTAAGAATAGGAGTTCACCCTCTTCCAGGTTCATTGTTGGGTAGTCCTCAGTTCCAGGGGAAGATAAGATGCCTTACAGCTTTCCTTGTAGGTGTTGTAATTTCATTTTATTCCCACTGAAGCCCTGACCTCCTCCCTGATTCCCTTTCTGTCACTCGGAGTACTGACTCCTTTCTTCCCACCAGCTAATTTCTACGGGGAACGTGCAGTGATTCTGCTGGCTATGCTTCTGTGTCAGCAAAGGGGTGGCCTTGTCAGAAACCCTTCCCTAAGGGTTGAGTAAGAGTTTGGGGACCTCAGGATGTCTGAGGGGGCCCCTTATCCCCATCCCCCAGCTAGCCTCACTGCAAGGGAGCACTATCACCAGGCTCTGGTGCCAGGAGAACCAGTCTAACCTTGGGGGCATCCTGCTGCTGTCTCCAAGGTAGAGAATCCCCTTCTCCCATAGCACCCCTGTCCCTGAAGCCTGGAGGGAAATGTGGCCTCAGGAACAGAGGTGAGTTTGGGCCAGTGGAACAAGAGGGAGGCTCTTGGGAGGGGAGATGGAGTGGCCATGAAGTCACTTCTGCAGGGTAGAACACCATCTTTTCATCTGTAGCACACATTTTCTGGGATAGCAGCAGGCCAGGTACCCTCTGGAGAGGCCAGGTTGACCTGGGGCCTGCCAACAGAGCAGGGCACTAAAGAGGCTTCAGTTCTCCTTGCCTTCACCCCTCGGGAGCCTACTAGCTCTGAGTCCCCCAGCTGCTCTCTAGGACCACGGCCCAGATAATCTGGGATTCCACCAATCTTCCATCCTCTGCCCAGGTAAAGTTCTCCCATTCCCCAGCATGTGCTTGGCATCTCCTTATTATTTGTCCCTTGGGTGGGTATATATGAAAGAACTTTGGGACTGCCCCCACTCTATTCCTACTAGGATCCCTCCAATTGGGGACAGCTCTGCCCAGTTCTAATGAGGAGAAAATCTCTGACCAGAGAAGCAGTGAAGGTGAGTAGGGGCAGTGCCTCCAGCACCACCCTGTGACCAGCCTCAGGTGCCTCCCTGGGCCTCCACCAGGAGGGTCCTGCTGGGTGTTGTGGCTCTGGGGGAGATGCTGAGCCGTCTAGCCGGACACACGCTCTCTGTACCTTGCCAGGAGGCTACCCCTCCTCCTATGGGAACTGTTAGAGTCAGTGGGTCCCCCCCCTTGGGCTTTCCCACCACTGCCCTCAGGGTCTCAGCGCAATCCCTTTTCCTCCCGTGGAAAGAAATTCTCCCTCAAGCATCAGATGGCCACTCACTAGAGTCCACAGAGGTACCTGGATGTCTTGCCCCTGGGGAGTTTTTCCCAAGTATCTCTGTCCCCATCCCCCCTCCACATCGCAGGGCAGGGTCTTCTGAGTGGAACAGAGCCAGCAGGCCGCCCCATTTCCCTTTGGCATTTGATTTTCTCCAGCCCAACACAGGCGGTAGCCTCCCCTTTCCACTGACAGCTCTAAGTAGAACTAGAGCCACCTGCTTCGGAAGTCCCAGTGGTCTAACTTTCCTCAGAACATACCAGCGCCCGCCCTTCCTTCACCTGTCCTCCTCCACCTTCTCTTGCCGCCTCTGCCCCCAGCGTTCCCGCGACCTCTCTGCCATGACCAAGCGCCTAAGGACACATGGCGCTGCCCCTTACCGCTGCCCTCTGTGCTAGGCTGGCAGCCCCACATTCGGAGCCAACCCCCCGGGGACAGCTGCCGCCAGGATGGACCGTGCAGTCTTTTCTCAATTCTTCCTCCCCTTCTCCGTCTCCTCCTTGGGCCACCTGAGAACAGAATCTTGCAGCGTCTCTGGCCACAAAGGGATTGAAAGGCGGAACCAACACTGGAGATGAGGCCTAGCCGCCTGGGCCTCTCCCAGGCTGCCTCCCGGGTGGGCAGCAGAGTCTTAGTGCTGGCGGCTGGCTCCTTAGGAACTGCGCCTCTTGATGGGCACTGGCTCGGCCATCACGTGAAGGCAGGCCAGTCCAAGGGCGGGTGCCACCTGCACGGAGCCCGGCTGTGGAGCACAATAAAGCTGGCAGAGCCTCGGCTCTCCTCCGCGGGGGAGCAAAAACGTGTCCGACTCTGTAGTCCCATCCGAGCACCTCCGGCCCGACCAGAGGAGGGGGAGGTTTCCCCTCGCGCCCCGTCCCCAGCCTCTCCGGCCCCTCCGTAGCTTTCCTAGGAGAGGGGGTTCGGGCTCACCCCCACAGCTTTACTGGAGGCACTGCAAGTGGCGGGGGGACACGCCAGCTGTCTAGCATCGGCTTAGGGGCTGGAATTCATTTTCCTGCACCGAAGCATCCGGCGGGTTCGGCCCGGCGGGAAGATCCGCGCCCCTTCGGCAGTGCATTTCCCCGGCTGCAGAAGTGGGGCCTCCCTGCAGAGCCGCCAGCACAGCCCCCGGGGCGGCAGCGCGGGGTGGTCTGAAGCCCTTTCCCCAATCCTTCCCTCCACAGAGCTAAGGCCGCTCGTTCTCCGTGCGCTTTATATTGCTCCGCCCTTCTTTTCTTCCCTCTGGGCCACATTGCCCTCTGGGAGCTGTAGTCCGCGCTACTAAGCTTGAGCCGGAGAGAACAATGGCTTTGGTGGGGCGGAAGGACCACATTTACCAGCGGCCTCCAAGCCCCCCTCCCCCATCGGCCTGCCTCGTACCCTCCCGGGCTCTGCTCGGGAGCACGTAGTCGGCCACTCTCCGCCCCCTGCCCCTTTCCGTGGCTAACGGAAGCACTGAGGCGGCAGGACTACATTTCCCGGCGGCCCCAGCGCCTCGCTTCTTTTGCTCCTCCCTGACTCTAGGCCTCTGTCTTCTAGGCGGGGAGTAGGAAGGGCCGGGCGGCGCGTCAGCCTCCAGCTCCCGTGGTGCCCCGCGGTGGTGGTGGAGGTGGAGGTGGTGGCGGTGCTGCTGGAGGTGGAGGTGGAGGTGGCGGTGGCGGTGGCGCTGGGGCTGGGGCTGGACTGGGCGCGCCTCTTCCCGCCGGCCGGGTCGGGGCGCTGTGGCGCTTATTATTGTCGTGCGCCGCGGGCCGCCCCGCCCCCTCCCCTCCCCCCCCGGCCCTGCGCCCGGGCCGCCCCTCCCCCCGCCTCCCCGGCCCCTCTCACGGTGCCAAGATGGCGGCGGCGGCGGGCGGCGGCGGTTGCCCGGGGCCTGGCTCGGCGCGGGGCCGCTTCCCGGGCCGGCCACGGGGCCCCGGCGGGGGCGGGGGCCGCTGCGGGCGGGGCGGCGGCGGGGAGCGGGCCCGGGTGACCCTGCGACGAGGCGGCGGCGGCGCGGCCGGGGCTGGGGGAGCGGAACCCGGCGAGGACACGGCCCTGCGCCGCCTGCTCGGCCTTCGCCGGGGCCTGCGCCGGCTCCGCCGTTTATGGAGGGGACCGCACACTCGTCGAGGCCGGGGCCGGGGCCGGGGCCGGGGCCGGGCCGGCCTGCAGGAGAAGCCCGAACAGGGCCAGGGGCAGGAGGAGGAGGAGGAGGAGGAGGAGGAGAAGAGCAGTGACGAGGAGAACGAGGAGGAGGAGGTGAGCAGGCTGGGGGCAGAGGGGCCGGCAGCGCCCCGTGCGAGGAAAGGGACCTTTCCCCGAGCCGGAGAGCTGGGGGTTGGCGTGCGGGGCCGGAGTGGGGGCGGCCCTGCCCAGCCTGGGGAGAGGGGGCTGACTGAACGGGGCCGGAGTTCTGAGGATGAGCTATGGGCCCAGCCAGTAGGTTGGGGGCTGGGGCTGGGGCTGGGGCTGGGGGTGGGGGTGGGGGAACTCGCCGGCCTCTTTTGGGGGCTGGAGCAAACTAGCGCCAAGTGTGTCTTGATAGTCCCTGATGAGCTTGGAGTTTTTCTTGGGGGGGGGGATATGCAGATAGTAGGATAGAATGTATTGGGATGCCCAACCTATGGTAGCTGGTGGAAGCAGCATGGCTTTGGTGGGTGGAACCGCAGGTTGAGAAGACCCCACGATTCTCATCTGTCCACCTTTGGCTTGCCATGTGACCTTGGCCAAACTCCTGGCCTTCGTAGTACCTCAGTTTCTCTGCTTTCTAATTTGGGGTGGAGAGGAAGGCATAAAGAAGACTCCTCCCAGGGAATTGGATGTGGAGATGTAAAGTGACAACCAGGAAGTATGGTGTCTTGAAGGCTTGGCTGGGTTTAGATCCCACCCCCTCCCCCTACTTCTGGGGACTTTGTTCTGGGGGTTGGTGCTGCTTCTTAGCTTGAGGGGGTTTTGAAGCTTTAGGTTGATTGTAATGTTTGGCCTGAGGAGCTGCACTGCATTGTCCTTCTAAGATGCTACTTGTGTTCTGGGCCCCAACCTGTTTATTGAAGGGAAGAAATTGATCCTGCTTTGGTCGAGGGGACATCTTTTTTGTCCTTGAGGGTCTTGAGTATACTGTGTCTACTTTAAGAGCTCTTCTAGACCAAAGAGCCACTTGTAGGCAAATGTCAGGATGAGCTCCAGTGGTTAGATAGGCTTGTTCTAACAAGTTCTGTTGGCCTCCACCCCTTTCTGATGTGGGGGGCTGGGGTGTCGAATTGAGGTGTTGGGCGCACAGGGAAGAATTAGAACCTTCCTTGGAGACTGCTTTGCTTTCCCTAACTTCTACTGGTCAGAGACTAGCAAAGATGGAAGTGGGGTACAGCCTAATGCATGGGTCATATGGAGAAGGTTTCTCTGGCACTGACTGCTCCCTTCACCCCTGGTCCCCTCCATCAGGAGGAGTTTCTGGGTTTCCACTCAGATGAAGATGTGGCCCCCAGTTCCCTGCGCTCTGCGCTTCGGTCCCAGCAAGGTGAGTGAGGGGCAGAGACTGTTTCCTAACCCTCTAGAAAACTATCTCTGTAACCTGTCCCAGTTAACTATTAGCTCCAGTTCCCACTCCCTCATCCATTGGATGCACCCTTATCCATCTCCATACCCAACCACTCTCCCCACAGGTGGAACCCCCAGAGGCCGGGGCCGCAAACACAGGACAACCCCCCCTCCACCTCCCCGCCCAGCCGAAGCAGTCCTTCCCCCCCAGAAGGCCCCGTCCCGGAGACGGGGTGAGACTGGCAAAGAGCGGATGGTGCAGGTACTGGCTGAGCTGCTTCAGCGGGCCCAGGCCCCCCCAAGCCCCCGGGTTCGTGTCTCTGAATCTCCCACCCCTCGTCGGCCTCGAGGCCGGCCACCAGGCTCTTGCAAAAAGAAGAAGCTGCCGGCAGTGGTAGCAACAACATCAGCTCCTAAGCCAGCACTCCCTGTAGTCCCAGGAAATCGACGAGCTGGGGCCTGGAGATGTCGAGAAGCCCCGGGCCCTGGCTCTGGGAGCCGCAAAAGAGGGCAATCTGGTCGAGGGGGCAGAGGAGGTAGGGGCCGTGGCCGAGGAAGGCTCCCTCTCCTGCTCAAGTTCGTCTCTAAGGCCAAAAAGATGAAGATGGGACAGCTGACCTTGGGACCTGAGCCAGGAAGGGGTCGAGGCCGTCGAAGGGGGGGACGTCGGGGGGCCCCGCCAGGTAGAATTGGGTCTGGCCGAGGAGGGGGGCAACATCAGAAGTGGCAGCAACGGGAAGAAGAAGAAAAAGATGAAGAAGAGAAAAAGGTGACCAAGGAAGAGGAAGAAAAACCACCTTCACCACCACCTCCTCTACCTCCTCCCCCCCCCCCCCCCCCCCCCCCCCCCCCCCCCCCCCCCCCCCCCCCTCCAGCCCCTGAGGAAGAGGGAGACGCACCACCTCCCATGGCCACAGCTACTCGATCCCGAAAAAGAGGCCGGCCCCCCCTGACCCCTACCCAGCGAGCTGAACGGGAGGCAGCCCGAGCAGGGCCAGAGGGTGGTTCCCCCCCTACCCCTGTCCCCCCTGCGGGGCCTCCTGAAGACAGTCCCACAGCCCCTCCCAAGGGGACCACTTTCCTGAAAAACATCCGCCAGTTTATCATGCCTGTTGTGAGTGCCCGATCTTCCCGTCTCATCAAGACCCCTCGACGGTTCATGGATGAAGAGGCCCCTCGACCCCCAAGGACTGAGACCTCACCCCCTTCCCGGCCACCTGTGGAAGTCTCTCCACCAGCCCCGCAGGAACCAGCTCCAGCTCCACCCCCCACCCCCGCCCCTACCCCCACCCCTACCCCTACCCCTACCCCTTCTCCACCTCCCCGATCACCAACACCCCCACCGGCCCCTCTCCCTGAAAAGAGACGTTCTATCCTGAGGGAGCCCACGTTCCGATGGACTTCATTGAGTCTGGAGCTAGCCCCGCCTCCACCTCCAGCTCCTCCACCAGCCCCACCCCCAGCACCCATGACCCCATCCCGAAGGCCCCTTCTGCTTCGAGCTCCCCAGTTCACTCCCAGTGAAGCCCACCTGAAGATCTATGAATCTGTGCTGACCACACCTCTACCCGGGCCCCTTGATCCCCCTGAGCCAGAGCCTCCCCCAGCTGAAGAACCTATTTTGGAGCCTGAGGCCCGGACAGGTAGTCGAACCAATCACCTCAGCTTGCCCTGTTTCACCGCTTCAGCAACCACACCCACAAAGGCTGAGGACCCACAAGGCTCACTGGTCCCCAGCAACGGGCAGCAGCAACCACCGCCGCAGCCACCCCCTCCCCCTGATGAGCAGAGTCTTTGTGCCCGGGGAACAATTTCACTTCCACTCTCTGGAGTAGAAGAGAAGATGTTCAGTCTTCTCAAGAAGGCTAAAGTACAGCTCTTCAAGATTGATCAGCAACAGCACCAGCAGAAGGTGGTGCCCCCAACTCCGGTGAGAATGGTGTTCTTCCTGTTGCCTTCCAGCCAGCCGGGGTCCACCCATTCACTTGTCCCCATCTCTCCTGCCTGGGGTCCCCTCTCAGATTCCATTCTTAACTCTACTTAATCCAGCTTCAGGCTTTCAGGTCTCTTCTATACCTAGTCTTTAGGCCCATTCTCCCCACCTGCTGTTGCCCTGTCCCCATCTTTGCTCACTTTCCAGCCCCTGACCCAATCTCTTTCCCCCCAGCCAAGCCCTGGAATGAAGGCAGAAGAGGCTGTGAGGACCCTCAAGCAGAGCCCTGATAGAGGGGCTGTCAAGTCTGAGGATGAGTTTCTGGAAGCCAAGAAAGAGAGACCCCCGGTATGCAATGAAAGAGGGACTGCCTCCCAGTGGAGGAGGGAGAGAAAACACTTTCCACCCCTTTGTCAGGGGAGTCAAGAAAAAGCTAATCGGAGAAGCCAGGAAAGTGACTGTCATGTCCTTTGCTTACTCTACTAGGGTCCTGAGTCACCAGTACAGGGCCCTCGAATCAAGCATGTTTGTCGTCATGCTGCCGTGGCATTGGGCCAGGCTCGAGCCATGGTACCTGAAGATGTTCCTCGACTCAGTGCCCTGCCCCTTCGGGAGCGACATGACCTTGCCGCTGATGGTGAGGATGCTGGGGGTCCAGGTGTCAGAAGAGGAAAAATCTGACCTTGGGGAACAGATTTTCTGATGCTGATCCCACTTCTTCCCGCCACAACAGATACATCGTCAGCATCTGAGACCGAAGGCCTCCCATCACGGTCCCGAAGGGGAAAAGCAGAACCGGCAGGCCTGGGTGGGAGCTCAGGTTCCACAGGGACTGGGGGGGCCCTGCCACATGCCCCGAGGCGTTCTCTGCCCTCCCACCAGGGCAAGAAGATGCGGATGGCACGATGCGGGCGCTGCAGAGGTTGCCTGCGACTGCAAGACTGTGGGTCCTGTGTCAATTGCCTGGACAAGCCCAAGTTTGGAGGCCCAAACACCAAAAAACAGTGCTGTGTGTGAGTTACTCTATGGCTACTCTTGGGCTCCCCACAGTGCTACTTGTGAGTGACCCCCACTCCCCCCCCCCATCATTTTGTGAGTAGCCTGAGGTCTCTCCTCCCATCCTTTCTGCCCAAGAATTGCCTGAGGCATCTTAGCACCCTGCATCCAGTCCTAGTCCTGTGGGTCAACTGGAACAGAATTCCAACCTCATTATTATTGCTCATTTTTATCATTATTCAGAACTGTAGAGTTAATATTCCAAGAGGTTGCCCCTCCCTTTCCCCACCAGACTGGTAGTCCCCTCCCCCAGTGATGGGCCACTCCCTTTCCCAGGTACCGGAAGTGTGATAAGATTGAGGCCCGAAAGATGGAACGCCTGGCTAAGAAAGGTAATGTCCTCCCACTAGAGAAGCTTTGCCTGTGTGCGTGGGCCCCCCCCCCCCAAATAAAGCCCCAAACCCATACTGTGCTTTTAGAAGAGCTGGGTGGGGAGGAGGCTGCCTTATTCTTTTCCTTTTCTCTACCCCTGCCTCAGCTCCATTTCCTCTCCATCCTGCCTATTTCACTCTCTTAAAACCTGTTTTTCTCATTCCCACATTCCTTTGCTTGTCCTTTATTGCCTTCTACTTCATTTCTGCCTTATTTGATCAACCACTTCTCTGTGTCCCCATTACCCCCCCCCACCCCCTCCACTTGTACTTCTTATCCTCCACACCATTATCCCACTGTCCTCACAGGCCGCACAATGGTGAAGACACTGTTACCCTGGGATTCAGATGAATCCCTGGAAGCCTCACCTGGGCCTCCCAGCTCACGTCGGGGGTCAGGAGGTGGGGGGCCCCGGGAGGAGGCAGTGGCCCCGCCTGGGTCTGAAGAGCAGGATCCCCTCCTGCAGCGCAAGTCAGCCCGTCGCTGCGTCAAACAGCGGCCTTCCTATGACATTTTTGAAGACTCGGATGACTCGGACCCAGGTGTCCCCCCAGCTTCCCGCCGCCGTGCACCTCGAGAAAATGGTGAGGGCCAATTACTTCTGTCCATACTAGTTTCCCCTAACTCCCTGACCTGTAATGGGTAGAACTTTTTCTGAACTCTTACAGGGAAGAGACTTCTTATTACATTCTGGGGCCTCGTGGGTCATAGACAATCCAGACTTTAAGCCTCGATTGTGTTTGAATAAAGAGTACAAGATGGAAGACAACTAGGTTTCCCTAGTCATCTGGGGAAGGTGTGAGGTTTTAGGAGAGAGGAATAGGCTGTGTGAGGGGCAGATCTCATCATCATTCTCTCCCTTGCCTAGAGTTGCCCCTGCTGGAGCCAGAGGAGCAGAGCCGGCCCAGGAAGGCCACTTTGCAGCCTGTGGTGCAGCTTAAGGCTCGGAGGCGCCTCGAAAAGGTCAGCCCCATCTCCTGCCACGCGCTGGGAACGCACAAGGGTTTTGGGTAGGGGGGCCCTCTTTGCCCGTCTCTAATTTAGGCTTTAAGGAAAGGGAAGGAGATTGGAGCAGGCAGTGAGGCAAGACAGCCCCTCACCTCAAAAAGCTTAACGTCTAGCTGAGGAAGTCATCACAGGGTGTGGTTATGTGCCAGAGGAACAGTCTGGATTGAGACGAAAGAGAGCTGTTGTGTTGAGTGAGCAAACGAACGAAAGCATAAGGGGAAGAAAGAATAGAATGTGGGTCAGAGAAGGGAGGGGATCAGGCCATCGAGGCCACTTTTGTTTGGGAGCACCGTGGTCCAGGTGAGGACTTGAAGCCTAATCTGAGAATTCCCTTAGGGAAGCAGCGGGGCTTAGATTGGAAAAGTGGGGTGCAGCCAGGATCCCCTCCCCCCCACCCTGGCTGTCCTTGCCTTGCCTCCAGGCCCATCTCCCTCCCACCCCCCTCCCCAGGACACTTCCGCCCCTGGACCCTTTGCCTCCTTCCCCAATGGCTGGACTGGAAAGCAGAAATCTCCCGACGGTATCCACCGAGTCCGTGTGGATTTCAAGGTATAGCAGGAACCGTGGCTTTGGTGAGGGTACAAGAAGTGGGTGTCCGATTGGACTTAGAGGGTTCTGGCTACAGGGTTAGGAAGTCAAACTTTGCTGAGAGATGGACAGACAGAGTTTCTGACTTTCTATTTTAAATTAACTCT